CCTTCTATTTACTTGAGCAGTTTACCTAGTGGTAAATTTATTGAGAGCCCACTATATGCCAGGCACTGTATGTATGAGGCACTGCAAACACAATAGTAAGTAAACAGACATGATTTCTGCCATCATGGAGCTAATAGTCTAGGGAAGGAGTTAGATATTAACCCATCAACCAGGTAACCTCACAAAGGATGGCAAAATGATTAACTGCAGCAGGCCCTGTGAAGGACAAACTTGTGGAACTGAGAGTGTCTATAGGGGGAGTTGGTTCAATGGGTTGGGAATGGGTCAGAAGCCACGTTGAGCTTTAGTTTCCCCACTTGGTAAATGAAGATACTACTCACCGAGCTCACTGGGTTGTTCTAAGGATTAAACAAGCCTTAAATATTTTAAGGAGGTGGCCAGTGGTTGTTCCATGGTAGCATTCTTGCCTTCCATGTGGGAGATCTGGGTTTGACTCTTGACCAATGGACCTCATGCACAGCCACCACCGTCTGTCAGTGGAGGTTTGCTTGTTGCTATGATACTGAACATGTTTCATGGGAGCTTCCAGACTAAAATGGACTAGGAAGGAAGGCCTGGCGATCTACTCTCCCAAATCAGCCAATGGAAACTCCTCAGAGGCACCAAGGAGAGCTATAAGGATCTCAATGATTTGATTTCCAGTTGATGATGGAGGTGGCCTTGGAGCAGGCATTTTGTTCTGTTGTACATCAGGTCTCCATGAGTTAGGGGCTGACGGGCTGACTCAACAGTGGCTAAGAACAACAACAGCAGCAACAACAACAACAAATTTAAGAAATAGATGCCACGCACAACACTTAAAAGATGTGCAGTAACCTTCCTACAGTGAAGGCTGGTAGGTTGGCCAACTGTGGTTAAATTCTGTAGGAAAGTGGGTTAGGCCTATGTGAACATTTCCTGTGCTTGGGGATCTCCAGAGCAGTGATCCCAAGACCCATTTTCCATCAGAGTCAGCTGCGGAGATTTTAAAAAATGCAGACATCTGCCCTCCACCCTAGATCCATGAGCCAATAAGAATTTCCCAAGGCAGGGTCTGAGCACGTGTATTCTAAAAATCTTTGATAAGGCCTCTTCCGGAATGACAGAGTTAGCACACACTTATCCTAACCATGAAGCAGTCAAAGTTATGTGAAGAAGGAAAACAACAGCTCTCCTCCTACCCCACCCTCCAGCTCTTGGAGGTCACCCAGGCCAATGGGCTCAAGGGAATCCTTTTAAGTATTCCAGCTCTGTGCCCATTTGCAGCAGACTCACCAATAAGCATGGACATAGACTTTTTTCTTTGTCAAATGATTATCTTAGTAAATGTTTTCCTCTTCACTTTCTTGTCATTTCATAATACAGCATTCACATCTCTTCAGGTTAATAGATAACAGGCCCAGCTCTTTTAATATTGTTGTTAGTTGCAACTGAGTTGTCTCTGACTCACTGTATCCCTGTGTAAAACAGAATGAAATGTTGTCCGATGGCCTTGAGCCGTCTTCATAATCTTTGATACACTTGCGTACACTCTTGAGGCTATTTTCACATTGTATTCCATAGAATAAATGGGCCACATTTTATTCAATACCCCTTGGATGGAAATGCAGGTGGTTTTTATGTCTCCAAGCAGTGAAGCAACAAATAACTTTGTAAAAGTATCTTACTTATAGCTACATTTGTGTCCTAAGGAGAGTCTCTAAGGAGTGAAATGGGTTGAACGATATGTGCATTTTTAATTCTAATAGTTACAGATTTGTCCTCAAAATGGCTGTGGCAATGCACATTCTTGCCAGTAAAGCAGGTGCATTTTTCAAAGCTCCCTAGGAGATTGTGATGTGCAGCCCAGGTTAAGAACCACTAGTCTAGAGCAGTCCCATGATGGTCCCAGGCTCTCTGAAAGGGGTGTCGGGAGAGAGCCTGGCTGTGAATGAGTGAGGGGCTCCCCCAGGGAAGTGAAGAAACTGTTCTTATCAGCCCTCCCACAGTATCCCTCTGGCTGGGGCAAACCCTGCTTCCCCAGGGCAACTTCCTCCTAGGCATCTATATAAAAGGTTGCTGTGGATGGAGTGAAGGATGAGCTGAGCTTTAAGAATTCTTAAGGATCAGAAAGACCTCTGGGTGGGTGAGTGCTTTCCCTATTGTTTGGAGCTGACTCTGGTGAATGTTCCATCTCCTGGGAGGACTGGCTGGGACTGGATGTGGCTTTCAGGTTTTGCAGGTGGTAGTGGGGGCAGGACTTCTTGTCCTATGCCTTTCACATTTCTTTGGAGGTGTGTGAAAGCTCTCCTTGGCTGGGGAATGCAGAGGGTGGGGGATATGGAGCTATGTGGTTTTTTTGAGCTAAGAGAGGGAGACACACTTTCTACCTGCTGTGTGTTCCTACGAGGGCCAGCAATCATGGATTCTTGACCTGTGTTCCCTTATAGACTCTTAGAGGCCAGTTAAGTACAAACTAATAAACATAATGTTCCCTTCCTCACTTCCCGGCCCCCAGAAAGCCAACCTTAGTTGCTTCTGTGGTCTGCTTCATGCTACTCAGAAAAAGGTCCCAGAGACTTGGAGGATCAGGGGTTGGCCCGTCCTGGCTCCCATTCATGCATCCTCTTCTTCACCTCACTGCCAAGGCCTCCTGACATTGTCACTATGGGCTGTGTATGCATATGACAAACTGTGTTCTCAGTTGCAGGACAAAGCAGGATGCAAGTCCCTCTACTCCTGGCTCTTCTCTTTGGGGCAGTTTCTGCTTTTCACCTAAGTAAGTCTCCTTTGCCTTCAGTCTTTCTCTCTCCATTCTATTCCCTTCTATAGCAGATGGGGCCAGACTCACACACTCACCTTCTACGAACACCCTGTACTTCAGGTCTCTGCACCCTTAAAGGAGCAAGGACTCTATAGCTGGGAGTTGAAGGGACTCTTCTGAATCTTCGTTGTACTGCGACATTCCCAATTTTGTCCTTTCCATATAATGCTAGTGATGATCACAATAATAATAATAATAATAATAGCTTTCTTTAACGTAGAGCTTACTCAGTGCACTGTGCTAAACATTGTCTATGCATTATCTCCTTTATTCATTGTAGTATCACGATGAGGTAGATAGTTTTGTATACCTATTTCACAAAGGAAGAAATGAAGTTAATAGATGATGCAACCATTACTCAAACTCAGAACTACCAGACTCCAAGTCCTTGCTTTTAACCACCATGACCTCATGTGCGAGGCTGAGTAATTTGGTGGAAACTGGGTTCCAAGTTCCTTTCTTTGCAGAGCTCAGCATGCTGATGCTTGAGGGCAAGGTGGGAGCTGTCCATGGTTCTAGGGAGGAGCAGAAGAAGATGTGAAGTAGGGGTGAGAAGGCGGGACCTTGGTCTTTGTCCCTGCAGGCACTGAAACTTCCAAATTTGACAGCGCCTTGGGAGAAGAGATCCTGCCTCAGGATGACGAGGTGCCTGAGCAGAAAGCAGAGGTGGAAAGGGGTTCAGGAAGTGAAGACTGCCCTGAGGAAGAAGAGCCCACGGAATCAGTCTCAGCCCTGGCTGAGGTAGACAGTAACTTTCAGTGCCCTAAGGAAGAGGATACAGTAAAATTGGTGGGCAGCCCTGGTTGCAAGACCTGCCGTTTCCTCGTGGTGAAGTGCCCCAGAAGTTTCGATCAAGCTCAGGTGAGTGGCTCAGCTGAAGCTGAGATCTGAGGGCAAGGGAAAGGGTATGTCCTCAGCCTCCATATCACTGGTGATTTGCCACACTGAGAGCCTGGGGGTGTCAGCGGAGGGTGAGGTCTGCAGAGATGTTGGGAGTAAGAAGTGAAGGCTATGTGGAAACAGAAGTTGCATTTGGTCTTGAGCTTCTGATGGCCATGGGCATGAAGTCTGAAGACTTGGGACCAAGGTCACATACATTTCTGTGTGTGGGTCCACCCCATTCTTTCTCTTTTATCCCATCCTGCAGATTACTTGCCGGAATTGCTACAGGGGCAACCTTGTTTCCATCCACAATGTCGTCACAAACTTCCAAATCCAGTGCTCAGTCAGCAGTCTCAACCAGGGCCAAGTCTGGATTGGAGCCAGAGTCACTGGCTGGGTAAATGGGATCTATGCTTTAAGTGGGAGGTGCCTCCTGACCCCAGCCAGTACTTGGCTTGGTGCAGATCTGTCTGTGGGTACTCTCTTTTGTTGCTCCCCTTCCGGACTTCCATGAAGAATTGGGGTGACTATAAGTAGGCATCCAGGCTAGATACCCAAGAGGCATTGGGAAGGACTAAGGATGTAGAGTTAGGAGGTTTGGATTCAGATCCTGCTCTACATTGGATTATCTATATAATCATATATAATTATATATATAATCAGACATGAGCCTATTTCCTCAGCTCTAAGATGGGGTTGGCAGCCCTTACTGTGCCGCTCGTTAGAGGCAGAAGGATGAGTATGTGACTGGTATGGATATAATGATGATGAGGATGAAGACCACTGTGAACTGGTGTTCAGTTGGTCAGGATAGTGTCTATCATGGTCCAGTAGTAAAGAACACACAGACCAGTGAGTGCAGGAAGTCCAGGAACAGTTTCACCTCTTTCGTCATCTCCTTCTGCCCTGTGCTCCACCTCACCTCTTCCCTCCTGCCTTCTGTAGGGCCCCTGCCAACGCTTTAGCTGGATAGATGGCAGTTGCTGGAATTTTGCATACTGGGCAGGGGGCCACCCCTCTGCCTGTGGTGGCCATTGTGTGTCCCTGTGTACCCGAGGTGAGAGGGCTTGAGAAAAACCATGCAATAAGCCTGGAAGGTGGGAGGTGCCACATTCCCTGGAAGAGAGTCCCTCTGGATTTTGGACTCTTCCACTGAGGAATAGGGCAGGAGGGGGTGGTGAAGGAAAGACCCTCCTGGGAGCTAAGTCAAAGTGGACAAGAAGTTGAAGCCCCTTCCTGTTCTGCCTTCACAGGAGGTCATTGGACCGTAGCTCACTGTGGCGTTCAACTTCCTTTCATCTGTTCCTACTGAACTGGCCCCACCAGGAGCTCTGAGGCAACCCCTCCTGTCTACTGCCACCCCATACCTGCCTTCTGCTCCTCTGTTCCCCTCTAGCAATAAAATTGTTTTCCTGAAACTGATTTGATTTTCCTCTAATTACTGATTCACTCTGGTCAGTCCAGCCCTGCCCTCCCCACTCCACTCCCTCACATAGAAAGGGCTGGAAGCTCATTCCTTTAGGAAGATCGGGGGTGGGGTGGGGTCTATGGGCCTTCCTGGAGACAAGGATGGGCTCAGGGCACCCAATTACATTCATTAAACACCCAATTACTGAGACTGTATAGCCTACCCACATCTCTTTGACCTTCCAAGGTGCTACGTGGACACCCAACATCCTGCACCTGCATCTTGGTGCCCACGGTGTCCTTCTTACACCTAAAACCATGGCTGGTTTGAAACCAGGAAATTAATACACCCTTGGTAAAGTCCACAGCTCTCAAGAATGGGTGTGGAAGTGCCCTAGTCTTTTGCCCCTCAAGTGGAATAATTGTTAGACACGGACTTGGCACCATTCTCAGGGTTTCCCAGAGGGATTAGCCTTCTTGGTGATGCAACAGTTAATGCACTCAGCTGCTAATGGGAAGGTTGGTGGTTCGAGTCTACCCAGAAGCGAATTGGAAGAGAGGCCTGGTGATCTCCCTCTAAAAAATCAGCCTTGAAAACTCTAGGGAGTATAGTTTTACTCAGGCACACTTGGGGTTGCCATGAGTTGGAATTGACTCAATGGCACCTGGTTTTACTGGTTTGAACCGCCGTGGTAGCCAGCTTTATAACACATCTGTAGTTGGCAGCTTTCCTGTCCTCATATCAATTCTCTGCTCCCTTCCCAGTGTCCTCTGTACTCCCCAAATAAACCACATTTGAATCCTTTTCTCAGCATCTGCTTCTGGAAAACCAATATAAGACACAGTCCTTGTTATTCAGCAACATAGTTGTAATGTAAGAACCACCACACCCACTAATTGTTACATTTGTTGAACACCCACAAACTACCCCTGTTGTGGCAGGTACCATAAATAGATGACTTGTGTGATCAATAATTATTACCCCTATTTTTCAGAACCAGGATGGGAGAGGTTATGACCTGTTAAAACATTTGCCCCAGTGGGCATAAGACCAAGGCTGGGGCTCAATGATACCCACTCCAGATCATGCTTTAACTGTGTCCTCCTGTGTCTGGGGAGGTTGGCTGCTCTTCCCTCCTCAACATGATCATATGGGGATGGAGCCCAGTGGGAGACAAGAGTGGGACCCTTGAGTTCAGCTTGGGGCATAAGACCCCACCACAGCTGGGGAAGAGAGAGTCCCGATCAGCGGTGAGGAAGGAAGGTATTCTGAACCCCTACATTAGGGAAGTGAGCAGAAAGTAGTGGGTCAATGCCTTGATGCTGCTTTCCTCAAAAACAAACAAACAAATAAAACAAACTCACTGCCGTAGAGTTGAATCTGACTCATAGCGACCCCGCCTTGGGTTTTGAGGCAGTGTCTCTAAGGAACATGCTCAGCATTTCTCAAGCTGAAAGAGTTGAGGAAAAAAATTTAAGCCTCAAGTTGCAATATTGAAAGATTCTATGGGAAAAATATTGAATGATGCACCAAGCATCAAAAGAAGATGGAAGGAATACACAGAGTCACTATACCAAAAAGAACTGGTCGATCTTCATCCATTTCAGGAGGTGCCATATGTTCAAGAACCAATGGTATTGAAGGAAGAAGTCAAAGCTGCACTGAAGGAATTGACAAAGAACAAGGCTCCAGGAATTGACGGAATACCCATTGAGATGTTTCAACAAACGGATGCCCTGCTGCAGGTACTCACTTGGCTATATGCCAAGAGATTTGGAAGACAGCTACCTGGCCAACTGACTGGAAGAGATCCATATTTGTGCCCATTCCAAAGAAAGGTGATCCCACAGAATGTGGAAATTATTGAACAATATCATTAATATGGCATGTAGGTAAAATCTTACTGAAGATAATTAAAAAATGGTTGCAGCAGTATATTGACAGAGAACTTCCAGAAATGTAAGCTGGATTCAGAAGAGGACGTGGAATGAGGGATATCATTGCTGATGTCAGATGGATCTTGGCTGGAGGCAAAGAATACCAGAAAGATGCTTATTTGACTAAGTGTTTTTATGGATGATGCAAAAGCATTTGATTGTGTGGATCATAACAAACTGTGGATAATGTTGAGAAGAATAGGAATTCCAGAACACTTAATTGTACTCATGAGGAACCTGTATGTAGATCAGGAGGTTGTCATTCAAATAGAACAAGGGGACACTGCATGGTTTAAAAATCAAGAAAAGAGTGTGTCAGGGTTGTATCTTTTCCCCATACTTATTCAATATATATATGGAGCAAATAATCTGAGAATCTGGACTATATGAAGAAGAATGTGGCATCAAGATTGGAGGGAGAATCATTAACAACCTGCAATTCTCTGATGACACAACTTTGGTTGCTGAATGTGAAGATGACTTGAAGCACTTACTGATAAAGACTGAAGAATACAGTCTGCAGTATGGATTACATCTCAATATAAAGAAAACAAAAATTCTCACAACTGGACCTATAAGCAGCATCACGATAAATGAGGAAAAGATTGAAGTTGTCAAAGACTTCACATTGCTTGGTTCTACAATCGACACCAATGGAAGCAGCAGTCAGGACATCAGATGACGTATAGCACTGGGCAATTGGCTGCAAAGGACCTCTTTCAAGTGCTGAAGAGCAAAGATGTCTCCTTGAGGACTAAGGTGTGCCTGATACAAGCCATGATGTTTTTAGTCACCTCATATGCATGTAAGAGCTGGACAATGAATAAGGAAGACCAAAGAAGAATTGATGCTTTTGAGTTGTGGTGCTGGCGAAGAATGCTGAAAGTACCACGGACTGCTGAAAGAACTAACAGATCTGTCCTGGTGGAACAGCAACCGGATGCTCCTTGGAGGCAAGAATGGCCAGACTTCATCCCACTTACTTTGGTCATGTTGTCAGAAGGGACCATTTCCTGGAGAAGGATGTCAGGTTTGGTAAGGTGGAGAGTCGATGAAAGAGGGGAAGGCCCTCAACAAGATGGATTGTTGACACAGTGGCTGCAGCAACACTCTCAAGTATAGCAGGAATCATGGAGCTGGCACAGGACCGGGCGGTGTTTCATTCTGCTGTGCATAGGGTCACTATGAGTCGGAGATGACTGAACGGTACCTAACAACAACACAATAACAATCTCTAAGAAAGTAGATTGCCCAATCTTCTTTCCAAGGAGTGGCTGGTGGGTTTGAACCGCCACCCTTCTGGTTAGCAGTCAAATGCCTTGGGCACTACGCCGCCAGAGCTCCCTGCTTTCTTCTAGGACTCCTCAAATTCATAGAATTTCAGATGGAACCAGAGCCTTCGAGAAGGGCAAATCACGAGCTTTAATTTTTGGAGACTCGTCTCGTGTGCTTTGTCTACGTTATCAGGAAGGACCAGTCCCTGGAGAAGGACATGGTCCTTGGTAAAGTAGATGATCAGCGAAAGAGAGAATGATCCTCAATAAGCTGGACTGACACAGTGACTGCAACCAAGGGCTCACGTATAGCAACAATTGTGGTGGTGCCGGACTGGGCACTGCTTGATTCTGTTGTATGTGGGGACACTATGAGTTGGAAGCAACTCGACAGCACCTACAACAATTGTTGGAGTGTGGCCCACAGAGGGAAAGCTACTTGCCCAAGGTCACACAGTAAAAGGAGAAAGAGTTAGAAATTAGACTTAGGTCCATTGCAAGCACTGTGCTATGATATTGTTGATTCCAAAGATGGTGGGATTCTGAAACATGTGTTAGCAATCCAGCCTTGTGCTGGGTGCTGAGGAGGATGTAGCTGGAGTAGACCCTTCACTTCTGCCCTCATGGTCCTGATAGTCTGCTGTGGGAACATGCTGCTTCCCCTCGGTCCAATATTAATAAGAAAAATAGCAATGTTGTTGTTGTTAAGTGCCGTCGAGTCATTTCCGACTCATAGCGACCCCATGCACAGCAGAATGAAACACTGCCCAATCCCGTGCCAGCCCCACAATCCCTGCTATACTTGAGCCCATCATCGCAGCCACCATGTCAATCCATCTCGTTGAAGGCCTCCCCCTCTTTCGTCGACCCTCCACCCTACCAAGCATGACATCCTTCTCCAGGGAATGGTCCCTTCTGACAACATGACCAAAATAGGTGAGACGAAGTCTGGCCATTCTTGCTTCCAAGGAGCATTCTGGCTGCACTTCCTCCAGGACAGACCTGTTAGTTCTTTTAGCAGTCCACGGTACTTTCAGCATTCTTCGCCAGCACCACAACTCAAAAGCATCAACTCTTCTTTGGTCTTCCTTATTCATTATCCAGCTCTCACATGCATACGAGGCGATTGGAAATATCATGGCTTGTGTCAGACGCACCTTAGTCCTCAAGGAGATATCCTTGCTCCTCAGCACTTGAAACAGTTCCTTCGCAGTTGACTTTCCCAATGCTACATGTCGTCTAATGTCCTGACTGCTGCTTCTGTCGGCATTGATTGATAAATAGCAATATCTCCTATTTATTAAGTATTACCAGGTGCCAGGCTCTGTGCTAAGTGCTTGGTGGATTTGTCTTATCCCTCACAAATCTTTTCTATTGTATGTGTGTGTGACAGAGGTGTGACTTCCTCTTCAGTCCATGGAGATCCCCTTTTGGGGAGTGACACCAAGGAGGGGGGGGCACCAAGAGGGCTTCCAGGCTCCTGGTAATATTCTATATCTTAATCTGGGTGTTGTTATGTCGGCATATTTGTTCTGTAAAAACTCACTGAGCTGTCCACTCTACAGTGCATGTTATAGAATGCATTTTTGGCATCAACCAAAATATTTTTTAAAAGTAAAAATTATGATACAAGAGGACTGGCTTTACAACCCAAAATATAGATTTGTGTGTGCGCTTTTCTTCTCCACCAGAAGCTAAGCTCAGTGAAAATAAGCTCACAACCTTATAATTGAATCTCTGGGGTTCCTCACAATGTGGAAAGCATACAATAGGACCTCAATCAATACTTACTGCTTATTTCTTGATAAGGGTCACTGTTGTAGTTCTGGTTTCCTGATCAGGGTCACCCCCAGCTCCATGTGCCTTGCCTGAGACAGAAACTGACAAGGACCACCACAAATTTCACATGCCAGGCACTGTTCTGAGAGTTTAACTTGCGCTGGTCTCATGTCATCCTCCCAACGACCTCTCTAGGTAGGTCTATCATTATATTCAGTTTAGAGATGAGGATGCTGAGACACAGGGGGCTGACTCTGGAGCTTGTGACCTCACTGTACACCCCGTTGCACCACCTCTCAAAGCCTCAGTGGCATAGTGGGAAAAGTCTCACCTTTTGTGCAGGAGACCTGGTCCATACCCCTCCTGCACAGCTGTCACCTGTCAGTCAGTGGGGGCTTGCTTGTTGCCGTGATGCCGAGTAGGTTCCAGTGGAGCTTCCAGACTAAGACAAACTAGGAAGAAAGGCCTGGTGACCTACTTTCAAAACTCAGCAAATGAAAACCCTGAAGATCACAATGGTCTGGTTCACAACCCATCCCAGGGATGGTGCAGGCCCAGCCCGTGTTTTGTTCCATTGTGCATAGGATTGCTGTGAGTCAGAAGCTGATTCTGCAACAGCGAACATCACAAACAAAACAAAACCCAACATACGGCCTCTCAAGATGGAGAGACCCATGTTTTGCATAAGTTGGGGCTGGATTGAGACTTGGGACAATATGCAGAGTCTGAAACCCATATGAACATAAATGCAAACAGTAAGACAGACACTTGGAGTTCCATGAATGTTGAACGTTTCCATGGGCACCACTGGCTAGACTTCCTGGAGGTAGCACACTGGGCCATACTAAAGAGAGCAGACTTGGGACTTGGATAGACTTGGGTCGGACATGCTACTACAAACTAGTGTGTGAACTTGGACGAGTTATTTAACCTCTCTCAGGTTTTGTAGTACACATGGACTAGAGGTGGTAACACCTAATATCTAGATGAAGGATGGAAAAGCCTCAATGAGGCGTAAGTGTATGTGGCCCATGGTGGGCCTTCAAAAATGTTATTTCCAGTTTTATATTGGACAGGCTTCATTGTGGTTACTTAGGGGCTGCTTGAAGTCATTGGAACGGCTGTGCCAGGGATGAGTTTGTGTGCAAAGGGAACACGGTTGACAGGAGGGAGAGAACAGGCTGCAGGAGACAGAGGCCAGTGAGAAGGGGCTGGAGGAAGGCAGCTATGAGATAAATAAACCATCAGAAGACCTGGGTTGAGGCCTGTCTCCGACTTGCTATGTGATCTCGGGCAACTCCTTTAAACTCTCATGCAACATTTCCTCATCTGTAAAATGGGGACATTCAAATGAGACAACGTGTATAAAGCTTATTGCAGGCATGCTCATGAGAGTAGCCGATCTCATTGGTCATCCCAACCACCAAGTGAAATGGTGCCCCTGGCCTTTGCCCCAGGATGGTGGAGAATAATGGGAGGGGGTCTAGTCCTATCCCCACTTCCCCACTAGGGAAGTCTGAAGGTTGAAATCTGCAGACCAGGCTTTGGGCCCTGAAGTTGGCCAATCTCCCCACAGTCAGGGGTCTGTTCTGTTGGGCAGGGAGATAACAGTGATGGCCGTTATGCTGCAATCGGCCCAGAACTGGCCCCTCAGAGACTTCTCCATTTGAAGGCCTCTGGGCAGAGGAGAAGGGAAAGGTTCCAGACCCTCTCACCCTCTGAGCTCCCTGTCACTGGTGCCCTGAGCTCTGGAAGGCTGGGCTGGAAGATGGAGAGCAAATATACACTTCCCAGCTGGGCTGTCACAGAGGTGAGTCACCCATCCTGGCAGGCCACCGGCTCTTGGCAGAGAGATCCAGCCAAGGTAGGTCCCTGGACTGTAGTGAATTTGGCTGGAGCTTGATTGGTTAAATGTTTCTTTTTTTTAATTGTTGTTGAAAGTATACACAGCAAAACATACACAACTCAACATTTTGTACACAGACAACTCAGTACCATTGCTTACATTCCTCAAGTCACGTAACCATTCTCACTACTCTTTTCCCAATTGTTCATTCCTCATTGACAGAAACTCATGGCTTCCTAAGCTTCCTGCCTGACATTTCAAGTTGTCAATTTGATCTCGTATAGATAGTTCTTCAAAAGAGCACAATATTTAAGGCAATTATTCTTTACTAAAAAGGAATTCTGAGGGTACTGTGGTTAAAGCACTGGACTGCCAACCAAGAAGTTGGCAGTTTGAACCCACCAGCCACTCCTTGGGGGAAAGAAAAGGCAGTCTGCTTCTGTAAAGATTTATAGCCTTAGAAACACTACAGGGTACTTCTACTCTGTTCTGTATGAGTCAGAATTAACTTGAGGGTAGTAGGTCTTTTATTCTTTGCTAAGTAAGCTAACTTGTTTCATTTACAGAAGACTTCAAGGGATACTTTTGGTTTAAGGTTTAAAGAGTAAGTCAGAGCAACAGTTTTGTGGATTCATCCAGTCTCCATGGTTCCAGAAAGTTCAGATTCTAATTCTATGAGCATTTGGAATTCTGTACCACATGTTCAGCAGTGGTAACCAGGCATCATCCCATTCTTCTGGTCTCACGGCAAAGAAGGCATTTGTTCATGGAAGCAATTAGGCATGCATTCCATTCCCTCCTATTCCTGGCTTTTCCTCATCCTCTGTTGCTCCAGGTAAACTGTCGTACCTGGAAGGTGGCTTGCAAGCTTTTAAGACACCTGGAAATATTCAACAAACTAGGAGATACAACAAACTCAAAAAAGCTGTTGCCTTCGAGTCTGACTTGCAGGGACCCTATACAACAGAATTTCCAAGGCTGTGAATCTTTATGGAAGCAGACTGCCACATCTTTTCCCCATGGAGCAGCTATTGGGTCTGAACCACTAACTTTTCCATTAGCAGCTGAGTGATTAACTCACTGTGCCACCAGAGCTCCTTCGAGGTAGGACAGAAGCACTAAAGGTGATCTTAGGCCAATTACCTGGTACATTCAGTGAAACCATGACCCTAAACCTGATTGGTTAAATTTTGATATTTTGTTCTTCATGTTTTATTTTTTTTTCACTCATTACTTTCAGTTTGGAAAAAAAAAATATTGCATTAACATATTCTTTATCTTGAACACGGAATTTTGTGGTGCCCTCTGAAATTTTATGGCTGACGCAAGTGACTCATGTACTGCACCCTAGTCCTAGCTGCAGTGGTGGTAGTGAGCTGGGGGGAAGATGCGGCTGGGGTCTGGGCAGTGGGCTGTAGAGTGTCTAAGTGACTCTGCTGCCTCCTTGCCAGCCCTGGAGATGTGCCTGGAAGATTAGGCACAATGGCATGCACTAGATCAGTGAGCCTCAGCTGGACGCAGTTTTGCCTCCCTTGGGCCTCTGGCAATTTCTGGAGACAGTTTTGATTGTCATGACTTGGAGGGGTGGTGCTACTGACATCAGTGGGCAGAGACCAGGATGCTGTTAAATCGCCCACAGTGGACGGGACAGCCCCTGACAACAAAGAACCATTTAACCCCAACTGTCAATAACATCAAGGTTGAGAAATCTTGGTCTAGATCCATGGCACAGAGGAAAGAGCATTGGCTTGTTACACACTAAAGGTGAGAAAGAGAGAGAGGAAGGGATGGGGGAACAAAGGAGGGAGAGGGAGAGACAAAGAGAGAGAAGGTCTTGAAGCCAAAAGGCCTTGGAAATCCTGTTCCTCCACTTTCTGTGGGACTTTGGCAAGTCACCTTCCCGCTCTGAGTCTCATTTTTCTCATCTGTGAAGTAGGGACAGTCACGCACTCCTTGCGGGGATGAAGTGAAGCAGAGGATTCAGGTGATGGATAAAGCTCCTGGTGCAGATAAGGGCTCAGGAGGCTGAGCCTCCCTCTGTCCTCTCCTCCTTCCCTCACTGACCTCCCACCCACTCCCTGGGACTCTCCACTTTGTTTCCTGGGATGTGGACCAGTGGAAAGAAGCTGCTCTTGGGGTTAAGGGGTATTGCAGAGACAGGGGCACTTTAGAGGGCAATAGTAACAATTGTGCCTGGACAATAGGCAGACCCCTGAGGCCTTCGTGAGCAAAGCAGGTCATATGGGTGCAAGGCCCGGGGGCAGGGCCCTGCGGTCCCAGCAGAGAGCAGGGCCTGCATTGAGGAAGCTGTTACCAGCTCCAGTGCCCTCACTCCAGTCTGGGGCAATCGTGCTGACCTCTTCCCACTTCCCCAAAAGCCCAGTATAAGGCTGCTTCTGGTGCCCAGCAGTCAGAGCCATTGAGTGAGTGGAAGCCTTAGACTCAGGGAGGTGAGTATGTCCTGGCTTCCCAGGGGGAAGGAGTCCCCATCTGGGAGGGAGGGGGCTCTTTCACAGCAAATACCTCAGGACCACGGTGAACGACTGAACGAGCCCTGACCCTGAGCACTGCTGTTCTTCAGGGGCAGGGTCTGGGTAGGTACTTTCCCAGGAGTAGCGTTGGGACACTCAGGGAGAAGGGGACTTTGTAGCTGACTGTCCCACCCCCATGTCTTTTCCCTGACGCTTGAGCTCTGTTCACTGGAGCAGGAGTAGCAAGCTCTTTAGTTTGTCCTTCCATCAATCAATTCATTAACCATTTGTTGCATTTTCACTGTGTGCCAGGGATCGTGCTAGACACTTTGCTGGACAAGACCTAAGGAGGGAAGGTCGAACTGTGTCCTTGCCACAAGACCAAGGAGCCATGACATATCCCCTGATTCTGCCCCTTCTCTTGCTGGGGACAGTTACTGCTCTTCATCCGAGTAAGTCCTCCCTTTCTCATCTCATTCATCACTGTCTTTTCTTTCTTGTATTTTTTTTTTTTTTGCCAGGGCCACAATCTCCCCTCTGCAGGTAACCCAGTTCATGCCTGGTAAACCTTTTCCTGAGCTCAGAATGCTGACCTGAACTTTCTTTCTGTTCAGGGGCTGGGGATTACTCTGTGCTTCTCACAGTGCTTCCTCCAAAATACACACCTGTGGTTTCAGGCAGAAGCCAGGCTCTCATCCACTTGTGGGTGTGAACTAAGAGAGCTCTCTTCACCCAACACTGAGGGAGCCTTCCAGTCTTGGCTCCACATGGTATGTCCAGGAACTCCCAAGTGGGACCTTAGGAGCTGTCCGTGGTTCTGGAATAAGAGCACACTTCACTTGGCAGGTTAATTTTTACTCTTCTTTCCAGAGAACGATGCCTCCAAACTGGAGAGCCTAGAGACAGTAGCAGACCTGAACCAGGATCTGGAAGGTTCAGGGGAGCAGGAAGGAGAGTTTGCCCTGACTGAGAAGGTGATTCAGTCTGAGGGAGAGGAGGTAGAGGCCTCCGGGTATGAAGACGACCCTGAGGATGAGGAAGACATGGAGTCGGACTCAGATGCCTCAGACAAAGACTTGCAGTGCCCCAGAGAAGAGGACACAGCTCAAGTGCTGGGCAGCCCTGGATGCAAGACCTGCCGATACCTGTTGGTGCGGACCCCCAGGAAATTTAGGAAAGCTCAGGTAAATGGGCATGAGGCTACTGCACAGGATCCGGGGAAGAAGAAGAAATAGGCAACCTGTTGCCTGTTCCTTTAGATTTTAAAAAATCTCATTGCCATAAAGTCTATTCCAATTCATAGTGACTCCCATAGGGTTTCCAACGCTGTAAGTTTTTATGGAAGCAGACTGCCTCATCTTTCTCCCGTGGAGCAGCTGGTGTGTTCGAACCACCAACCTTTTGGTTAGCAGATAAATGCCTTAACCACTGTACCACCAGAGCTTCTTTTCATTTAGGTTAGTGGTTGTCAAAGTCTAGTGTGTGTCAGAATCAGCTGGCTGTCTTGTGCAAACAGGGTTTGCTGAATGCTGCCCCCACGACTTCTGATTCAGCAGGTCTAGAGGGGAACCTGAGAGTTGGTATTTAAACAAATTCCCAAGTGACGATGAAATGACTTGTCTAGGTATGAAACACTGAGAAACAATGACTTAGACAATGGGCTTTGGTGTTAGATGCATTTGTGTTAAATCCTGGCTCTGCCTTTCATTGTCTGTGTTACCTGAGCACGTCTCCTCATCTTCCAGTGCTTCAACACCTTCATTTGTAAAATGGGGATATACAGTATCAACCTCTTAGAGTTGTTGTTGTTGTTGTTGTTATGTGCTGTTGAGTCAGACCCCACTCATAGTGACCCCTCCTCGGGTTTCTGAGGCAGTATCACTATGGAAGTAGATTGCCCCATCTTCCTTCCGAGGAGTGGTGGGTGGGCTTGAACCGCCAGCCTTCTGGTTAGCAGTCAAGTGCCTTAGGCACTATGCTACCAGAGCTCCTTCTTAGAGTTGTAGGAGGATGAAATGAGACAGTCTATGGAAAGCACTTGGCACAGTCCCTGGGTCATAGGACACACTCAGTAAATGGTAGCTATCATTATTATGAGAGTTATTATTAACACACTGCAGGGAAAGTCCTGACAACCAATAAAGGAGTAAGAAGTGGGGTCGAAGAGAACCATTAGGTCTCTAGTTTCTGACCTGAAAAGGAAAGTGGACTCTCCTGGAGACTGTGGTCTTGAGACAAGTGAGAGTGAATTCTCTACCCTCTTCTTTCCACAATGTCCTTTTCTTCCTGTAGAATATCTGCAGGAGGTGCTACCATGGCAACCTTGTCTCCATCCACAACTACAGCTTCAACCAAGTCATTCAGTGTGCCGTCCGTGGGATCAACCAGGGCCGGGTTTGGATTGGAGGCATCGTCAAGGGCTGGGTAAGTGAGGGGCCAACTCCTGGATACAGGCATGCTTTCTGAGTGCCTTAAGGGAACACCTGCTTTTGCTAAGTCTCAGACGAGCTTCTGAGTTGTCCTTAGAGCAGCAGGCAGTGATGTGCTGGAACTGGTTTGTACTGGTTTCGGGACCACATGCGTCTCTCCCCAACTCCAAGTTCAGTGACTTCATGCTTGTAGCTTGGAGTCAACCACTGTGGGAGTATTTACACCAAGGAAATTGGCACTTCCCACACATCTGCGCTCCATGATCCTCATCTCCTGCCTACTTACCTTCTCCCAGAGCTGACTGTTAAACACTTACCAACATTCCACTGGAGTCAGGAAATAGGATACAGGCCCCGCTTGGTCACTTACTGGCTGAATAATTTTCTCAGCACCTCAGTTCTCTCATCTCTAAAATGGGTACCTTCTTTCAGGGTACCTCTGGGATTGTGGCTGGACAAGAACTCTTTCTCTTTGCTACTCACAGTTTGATCCATGGTCCAGCAGTAACCACGTCACCCAGTAGCTTGCTAGAAATGTAGACTCTTGAGCCCCACCCAAGACCTCCTCAATGAGAATCTGCATTTTAACAAGATCCCCAGTAATCTGTGGCACAGTAAAGTTGGAGATGCCTGCTCTGTGTGATAGCTGGGTGTGATGGTTGCTCTTCCACTGTCATTACATACAAACAGACCCTCAGGGATGGGTCTCTAGTCTATCTGGCTCCTGGAGGGTGGGAAGGGGCCAGCAGTGGGCACTTTCTGATGGTTCCCGGATCTATCTGATTTTCTTGACCTCTGATCGAGTCTACCACTTTTCTAGTGCCTGTGGAAGAGGTTTTGCTGGACTGATGGAAGTTGCTGGAATTTTGGATACTGGGCCCCAGGGCAGCCTGGGAGGGGCAAAGGCCGCTGTGTGGCTCTATGCACCAAAGGTGAGGGAGATTGGGCACTGGAACAAGGAGAAGGGTGGCAAAGAAGACTCTTACATACTGTGCCTTTGAGCTGCCTGGACACACCTCATCCAAACTCATACTCTCCCCTCAACTGGAGAATCAAACTCCCACTTGGGAGGAGGGCTGACATAGGGGGGATCCTCAAAGCAAAGTCAGGTGACTGAGGGCACCCCATGGAGGGTTGGACGGGGGCTATCCCTCCTCATGGGCAGACCTAGACCCTCTTCAGATATGAGGGTGACCATGAGAGTGATCGATGTGACAGATGAGAGCAGAAGATGTAACTATAAGTTGTGGATGGGAGATGAAGGGAAGATGTGGGTGGCTGCCAGACACCAGCTTTGAACAGCAGATGCAGGTGACAGCAGGGGTGCCAGATGTGAGGGAGTTGGGCAGACTGGCTAAGACCATCTGTGCTGGAGTGAGACCACTGTGATTCACATCCCAGCTCTGCCACTTGCCAGAGATACAGGCAAGAGACTCACCTCCACCAAGCCTCAGTTCCCTCATCCGTGAAATGGGGACGGTGGCAACACCTACCCTCTTGAGTCAGTGTGAGGATTAATGTGACAATGCATTAAAGCAGTTAGCATCCTGCCTGGCCCGGGGACACTTAGTTAGTAGGGTTATGTGGGACACATACTGGTGACAGATTGCGACGATGGCAGAGGAGGGATCACGTGATGGAACCTGAGAGGGCAGAAAGTGGAGGCCACGTTGGACCAAGATTGGCAGCTGACAACCCTGTGCTCTCTACTGCTAGGAGGCCATTGGAGACGAACTCGATGCAGAAGGCGTCTGCCCTTCATCTGCGCCTTCTAAGGCAGCGGCGCTGAGACCCTCGGGGGAGGTGCCTCCCTTCACGGGCTCCTGGCTGCCCCACCCTCGGCACTGGGCTCGACTCTGCCTTTTCTGGTAATAAATCCAGACTACTCACAGCATCCCCCGACTCTTGCTTCTTCACTGTTCTCGTTGAGGGACCCCTCGGCAGGTGGGGAAGACCCGAGAAGCGCGCCCTCCTGCGGGGCGGAGCCTTGGAGGAAAGGGAGCCGACCAGCTCCGTGCAGCGCCCTCTGGAGGCGGGCGTGTAGCCGAGGCGGCGGCCGGCCCTCGGCTCCGCTCCGAGTCCGGCCTCCCCTCCACACCCTCGCGGAGGAGCGCCTTTGGTAGGGGTGGGGAACCGGCCCTTGTGTTTGGGCTCGGTATGGGGTGCGGGGCAGGGGAGGCTTTCCAAATGGAGGTTATATGATGATTCATGATTGGCGCGGGGCAATGAGATCCCACCTGGAGGACACCACGTGGAAGAGGGTGAAGGAGTTCTTAACTGTCTTGAGGGCACCCTGCTCCTCTCGCCGGTCTCTTGGCCCCCATTTCCCAGTCTCCCAGGCAGCTCTGGGAGAGTTCAGAGCCCCCAGCTTCTTTTGAGATATGTGTGGGTTTTGGGGGAGGGAGGCTGTCTGTCCCCCCACTCCCAGCCCACCTCTAAGGGAGGACCATGTTCTCAGGAGGGAGCTGCCTCCCACCCTCGGGCCTTGGGGTGCGCCCGGTAGGGCCATGACGCCCGCTCCCCGGTCTACAGCCGGGCCTCAGCCCTGGCTGTTCCCCTCCCCGCACTTTCTCAGGCCGAGGATATTGAAAGAGAAAATGGTGGGTGCTCTTAAGTTTGTTTTGGTGGGGAGCTCGGCTGCAGGCAGGATTTGGGATTGATGAGGCAGGAAGCTGAGGCCCTAGACATTGTTAGGAGGGAGAGGGCTTGTCTGTGTGTGTGTGGGGGGGGCTTCTAGGGCATAGTTCTTCAGAGCCCCAGGGAGAACGCCCAGGTATTTCTGTGGGGGCACAAGTATATGTGTGTACGTGTCTGGTGCATACATGTTAGTCTTTGTATACGCATGGAGACCCATGCATATTGACTCCATGAATATAAATGTGCATATACACGTGTATAAATTTGTATATTTACGGATATGCCCGTGTCTGTGTTTGTCTGTGAATGTGTTTGTCCCTGTCAGGCTTTGTACCCTTATATGTCTGAATCTAAGGAGTGCCTGAGGAGCACAAAGAGTTAAGCACTTGACAACGAGATGTTGTCAGTTCTAACCCACCCAGAGGTCCCTCAGAAGACAGGCCTGGTGATCTGCTTCCCAAAGGTCCCAGCCTTGAAAACCCAGTGGATCAGTTCTAGTCTGCACATGCAGGGTCGCCCTGAGTCAGAATCAACTCAACGGCAACTCACAACATGTCTGAACCTGGGTATACCTGCATCTGTGTGTCCGTGTACACATGTGTCTGTGTGTGTGGGCATCTGTGTGTCCATGTGTCTGTGTACATGCATCTGTGTATCCATGCATACATGCATCTTTCTGTGTGTACATGCATGTCTGTGTGTACATACTTCTGTGTGTATGTTCACCTGTGTACATGTGTACCTGCATCTGTATGTCCACGTGTGCATGCATCTGTGTTCGTGTGTACATGTTTCTGTGTATGTGCATCTGTGTGTATGTGTGTATCTGGATCTGTGTATACCTACCTCTATGTTTTGATCAGTGAGGAGGCATACTTGCCAGTGTGTGTCTGAACATATATGTAGGTACAGGCTGTTTGTGTGTGTACATGTGTGTACATGTGTGTGCATCTGTACAGGCATCTGATTTGCCCAGATACTGTGTTTCCAACAGTGTGAGAGTTGAGGGACCAGGACAGGATCAGAGAGGGAACCCGGGGTGGGGGGTGGGGTGGTGAAGAAACAGCAGGGATGAGGCCCTTGAACATGGGCAGGCCTCTGGCAACAGGAGAATGGGTCCTGACATTGCAGTGACCTTCACTGATACCGGGGCTAGGAGGGGAGCTCCTGGGAGGCGGACCCCCACCCAGGTCCCTGCTCTTTCTGGTTAACAGCACATTGAGCCAATTCCTGATGCTTTGCTGCTGAAAGAACAGTGGAATCGGCTGTGGGGGCGGGGAGAGAGAGTCAGGGAGGGAAGCGCGCACAGGTGCCTCTTGGGACTGGTATTTCAGAGTAATGGCTAAAAGTTAAGTCCACCTTCAACAGTCTCCACTTATCTCCCTAATGGGGAATTGATTCTAGCCAAACCCAGCAGTCCAATATCCTCCAAGCCAAGACCAGGGATAGAGATGGGGAGGGAAGGGGAAGAGAGGGGAGGAAGGCTCGGTCCCCTTCAGGCTGAAATGTGCTTGAAGCTGAAGAGACAAAAGGACTCTCCTTCAAATCACCACAGTTTGTCCCTGGTGCTAGAATTCAACCTTTATACATTCATTCCTTTGGCCTTTGAGTCTCAAACAGCCCTTGATTAGAAAGCAACTGCTTTTGGGAGAACAAACTCCTGAGAGCGTGATCTATTAATACCCCAGGAGACTGGTTGGCAGCTTGCTGAGAACAAAGTTTTGTGAGAAGGAACACAGAAAAGAGGGGTGTGTGGAACTCTTGGTGGGCCTGGGTGGAGAAGAGAAGCCATCAAAAAGGAGGTAGCAAAGCAGAGACAAAGCCGTGTTCACCAGGAAGACTATATTTCCCAGTATCCCTTGCAGTAAACTTGGGCTCAGAGATGTGCAACTGAGTTCTGGCCAATGGAATACGGTTGGAAGAGATGGAAGCCAGTTCCAAGCTTGGCCTCCAAGTGATCCCCCATGATCCTCCAGTTTCTCAGTTTCCCTGCCAATGATCTGGGAGTCCATGTGTCTCAGACAGCATAGCTACAGATGGAAGGGGACTGTCTGACCTGCTTTGCTATATTAAACCTTGAGATGGAGTTGCCTTGTGACTGCAGTAAAGCCCCGTCTATCCATCCTAACGAATAGCACAGACAGAAAAGAGGTGCCAACAAACGTCCCGGTTTCCCCAGACCGATACAGCACAGGGGTCAAGATCCCAGACTCCAGAGCCCTGAAGCTCTGAGTTCAAGTCCCAGTTCTACCACCTGAGTTTCTTAACCTTACTAAGCCTCAGTGTTTTCTTCCATGAAATGAGGGTTGAATTAGTGCCTATAATGTGTTTAGCCCACGGCTTGGCTAAATCAATCGACGTCATGCTGAGTAATTAAAGCTATGGTGCAATGTTGGGAAGGAGCAGGGATTCCTGTTCTAATTTCCATGCCGTGTAAGCTGGTTCTTTCAAGCAGGATTGATAACAAACAACTTAACCTCCCCAGGCTTGGTAGGTGTAAGGGTCCATGGATGGTGTTGGTGACTGTGCTCAGTAAACCATGACGCAACAGAGACAAATGAGCTGTTGTTATTACGTCTAATATTAACTCCAACACTAGCACAGAAGCAGTAAGTGAGGTCAGACGTGGGGAAGACAGCCTTGGGTTCACACACTTGCTGTACATTCAGGTGGGGCTGCTGCTCTCTCAGGAGAGGACAGGCCGGGTGTAGGAAGGAGGATCCTCAGTCTCCTCATCAGAGAACAACCCCGTGGCCTAGCCTCAGCCTGGCCTCTTGACATCTGGGCCCACCAGGGACGCCCGTGGGGCTCCACTTTTGGGACTGAGGCCCGGCCTTCCTCGATGCCCTGCTGGGGCAGGGAGCCTGGAGCTCGGACAGAGGCTGCCCCGGGGAAGCTCCTGTGCCAGCAGCCCGAGGACAGGCCCTGGGTGAAGGCAGAGTGAGGGAGGAGTGGTGGCCAGCGTGTGGAGGTCTTGTCCCTCCTCCCCTTGAGTGGGGATCATTGGGGTCAGGCCTTTGTAAGCGCCCACCTGCTGACCCCCTCCCCCGTCTCCCTGTATCTTCTGTGAGGGTTCCACCTCCATCTACAGCACAGCTGTGTTTCTGCTCAGACCTCACCATCACGTGGACACACAACTTTTCCAACTTAAGCAAATGAAGTGAATAAAAAAGCTTAGCTGCAGGGTCACCCACTTGCATAAGCTGCGTCCAATGCTTGACTTTGGATGACTTTCCAACCAATACTTGACTCTGGAATAATTTTTAAAAGGTGCCCCCGTACTGTGTATACCCCAGCCCTCACAAACCTGAGTCTGCTCCCAGGCTCTGTCCAGGTGACTTTTCTGGGCCCATCACTGCAGAAGAGCCCGGGAAGGGGCAGGGGAGTCTGGGAAAATGGAGGCAGGGCTGCCTTGGGTGGTCCTGTCTAGCCTCCTTCCCCGAGAGGAAAGACCCCTAGGCTCTCTCTGGGGTCCTGGCTGTGTGACACTGGACAAGTGGTCTCCTGTCCCTGGCCTCAGTTTGCTCTTCTGCCAACAAGAGGGTTGGATAAGGTTTTTGTGATCCACTTAGCCTCTCACATTGTAAGACTGGTCACCTCATTAGGACCCTGTGGTCCTCTTGTTTCATTCTGAAGTTGGGAGCCTCCATGTTAGAGATGAGACCCCTCACTGCTGTCTAACTGGTCCCCCTCAGGCGGGGCCTGAGCTCGAGGAGAGGAGCATGGACTCAGTCATGGTTGGGGTGAACTTAGTTGTGGTTGGGGTGGACGACGCTGAAGCAGCAGAGGCAGACACCCCTGGGAGTTCATCCTTCTCGAGGGTTGGTGTGTGTGGGATGGAGTTAGACAAACCTGGGTTCAAATCTCAGCTCTTTCACTTCTTAGCTGTGTGGCCTTGAGCAAATTACTCAGTCTCTCTGAGCCTTAGTTTATCTTCAAAACAGGGGACTAATATCGACCTGGGAGGATTATTCTAAGGATGAAGTGAGTTAATATGTGTTACTATGCAGGCTATTATTGTACATATTATTGCTATTATTATCTCATTATCTTTACTCTTTGGGAGGGAGACATCTCAGGTGTGGCTGCCCTGGGATCCTGGGAAGCAGGTAGGGACAAGGGGAGGGGGAGGGGGAGGTTGGGGTCTCAGCAGGGAGTGGAATCTGTCTGCCTGAGCACTGGGAGGCCGGACCCCTAGCTCACAGCTGCAGCCTCATGGGATCAACAGCGGAAATGAGAGCCTCTTCCCTGCCTCCCTCCTCTTCTGCAGGTGAGGTTCCCTGCTGGGAGGCCTGGAGCCCAAGAGTGAGCAGGGCCCCCAGGAAGAGGCACTAGTGGCCTATGGAGTAGGCCCCTGAGTCCGTGGACTGCTTCTCCTCCGTGGTCTGGTCACTGGGGTACACTGGGTTGGCTGAGGCTGCAACCTTCAGCATTGTCTCGCTCACCTGCAGACAGAGGGCTGGCATTACCATGCTTTATGGGTGGGCAAAGTCCTCCTATAGTCCCCCACTGACCGGCATGGCAGTGGGGCTGCAGCCTGGACAGTGGGCAAGCTAGAGCAAGTCCCGTGCTCCCGAGACTCTCCACACACCTTGAGGGAACACAGAAACCCAACCTGACCCGCAGGAGGGTCTGTCCTGGCCCAGAGATGGAGGAAGATGAGTGGGTGGGATGTTGACTGCGGTGACCCACAAAGGCTGAAGTGTCTCTGCAGAGCCCAGTCCTGGCGAAACCACCTCTTGTCTGGGCCTGAAACATGCACTGATGCCCAACGAAGCCCTGACGGTGAGCCACCGAGGGCCCTGGGGTCCAGTACACTCACCTCTTCAAACTTCCTGGCTTTGTACTGGTCGGCCCCCTTGAGGAAGTTGAGCAGGATGATGTCACAGAGGACAGTGCCCTGGAAGAGGAGAGGCAGGGTGGGCTCTGAGGGCAGCCGGGCCGGAGGGTCAGGCAGGTGGGGTGGAGGGACGGGCAGGCGGGCTGGAGGGACGGGCAGTGGAGGGACGGGCAGGCGGGCTGGAGGGACGGGCAGGTGGGGTGGAGGGATGGGCAGCCGGGTGGAGGGACGGGCAGCTGGCCATTCTTCCCTTGGGCAGTCAGTATACAAGGGTCTGGGGCGAGTCCTACAGAAAGTCTTCATGACCCTCCTTCCTAGCTCCTCTGGTGACCTCCTCACACTACAATGTGGAGGGGGACATGGGAACAGAAGTCCCTGGGAAGAGGGACTGTGTCCCTGACTTGCTGGTGGGCTGTTGCTCAGGTTTATGGAAACCCTGGAGCCTCCTCCCACACCTTCATGGTGAGAAACAAGGACTCTGTAGCAGTTGCAGCCTCTTGCAAATGAAGAGTTGCTTCAGAAGGTAACGAGCTCTCCAAGACTGGAGGTGTTCGAGCCAGGGCTGACCCAGCACCTGCCAAAGGGCTGGACTTCCACATTCTAGGGAGAAGCAGGACCTACCCCACTCACTTTCCTGCCTTGGCTCCACCCTCACTGGCCTCCTGTCTGAGCCTGGTGGGGCCTGAACTCACCACTCCCACAGAGGTAAAGGCTGCCACAGCGCTGATGATGGTGGGGATGATGTTGAACTTGCCAGCCTATGTGCACAAAGACCAAGGTGAGTGGGCAGAAGTCCAGCAGGGCAGTCCCGGGGCTGAACTTGGACTCCCAGCCTGAAAGACTCTGAAGGTGGAAGCGTTCTTGGTGGATCAGCAGGTCCCATGCATTCATGGTACAGGTGAGGAGAAGGGAGATGTGACCAGCCACAGATCTCAGAACAGGTCAGTGGCAGAACTCTGTCCCCAGAAGAGCCCCTCAGGACCCAGGAGCTAGTCTGTGTCACCCCTGTGTACCCCACTTGCCCAAGAACTCACGTTCCCATACACCAGCACGTCAAAGCGGATGCCAAAAGCCTTCAGAAGTGTGCGGTACTCACTGCCATTCTCCATCTTGTAGTACTTGGCAAACCTGGAGGCCAGATGCAAAGGTGGGTCCTGCTGTGGGCTCCTATCCCTTCTGCCTGAACCTTCAGGGTCTCCTGGTGCTCTGTGACTCTCAGGTACCAAGAACCCCTCATAGATAGGTTGGTGACATACCTGCTACAGTCTCCCTTGTGCGGTCAGCCACCCCCCTGCATGGATCTTATTAAAAATACAGATTCCCAGGCCCCACTCCAAACCCATCAAATCAGCATCTCTTGGTGGGGCCCAGGAACCTGCCTTTTAAATAATCTCCCTAAATGAGTCTGGTGTGTACCAAAGTTTGAATGGCTGCCAGACTCTGAGCTTCTTAACTTCTACCTGCCTGGGTGCCCCAAAGCCCATCACTGCAGGGGCACCCCAAAGGCTCCTCAGCCCATTTGGGTTCAATTCCTAGCTCTGCTGCTTACCATCTGTGCAAAGTTGAGCCAGTTTCTTAACCACCCTGAGACTCAAGTCCTCACCTGTGAGTAGGGATAATATACAAGTCCTGCTTAGGGTTGCCATGAGATCTGAATGAAACCACATACATCAGGCATTTAGAACAGTGCCTCGGGCGTAGCCAGCACTCAGGAAATATTTGCTGATGCTGGCGTTATTACCACATTCACATCTATAAACCAGCCGCCATGCAGTCGATTCCATTTCAGAACAGAATTGTTCGCACAGGGTTTTCAATGGTTGACTTTTCAGAAGTGGATGGCCAGGCATTTCTTTCAAGGTCTTCTGGGTGGACTGGAGCCCCCAGCTTGGCAGCCCAGCTCATTGGCCACTTGCACTGGCCAGGGACTTTCAGGCACTTCATCTCATTGGACCCTTGCAGCAGGCCTGTGCCATGGGACATGACTGCCTGTGTTTCAAATGAGGTTCCAAGAGGGTTAAATGACTTGTCGCAGGTCCCAACTGGCTGGGACTCAAAGCTAGATTTGTCTAAGTCCAAGGCTTGTTCCTCCATACCTTTGCTGCCTTGGCAGCTGGGTGCCAGGCATTGTGCTGGGGCATTTATAAGAATGATCACATTTAATTCTCACCATCACATGAGAATTACCAACGAGAATCATCAAGAAGCAACATCATGATAAATGGAGAAAAGACTGAAGTTATTAAAGACTTCATTTTACCTGGATCCACAATCAAAACCCAAGGAAGCAGCAGTGAAGAAACTAGACATTGTATTGCTTGAATCTGTTGCAAAGGACCTCTTAAAGTATCTTAAAGATGTCACTTTGAAGACTAAGGTGCACCTAACCCAAGCCATGGTATTTTCAATTGCCGCATATGCATATGAAAGTTGGACAATGAGTAAGGAAGACTGAAGAAGAGTTCTTCGAATTGTGATTTTGGTGGAGAATACTGAAAATACCATGGATTGTCAGAGGAATGAACAAATCTGTCCTGGAAGAAGTACAGCCAGAATGTTCCTTGGAAGCGTGAATGGCCAGACTTCATCTCACCTGCTTTGGTCATGTTGTCAGAAGGGAACATTCCCTGGAGGAGGATGTCATGCTTGGTAAAGTTGGAGGGTCAGCAAAAAAGGGGAAGACAGCTGCAGTGACGGACTTAAGCATGACAAGGATTGTGAGGCTGGCACAGGACCGGGCAGTGTTTTGGTCTGTCGTACATAGGAACACTATGAGTTGGGATTGACTCAGTGGCACCTAACAACAACAACAGCATGACATGAGGTCGTTCATACTCCTATTTTGAAGATGCCTGTGGTGGCAAAGGGACTTGCCTCTAGTTTTACAGTAAGTGCTGGACCTGGGCTTTAAATTGTGTTAGTCTTTAGCATCTAAAGGTTGGTGGTCAAACCCACCCAGCAGGGCTGCAGAAGAAAGGCCTGGTGACCTGCTTCTGTAAAGATTACAGTCAAGAAAGCCTTATGGCGCAGGTCTCCTCTGTGATGCATGGGGTCGCCATGAGTCAGGACCAACCTGGCAGCAATGGTTTCATTTGGTTTTGGTTTCTAACTGTTTGCACCACCCAAGGACTCTGCAAGATCCCAAAGCCTTTCTCTATTCTGTCTTCTGTTGGAGACTCAGGGCCCTTGTCTCAGAGATGCGGCAACTTATGCCAAGGGGGCTGGGGAGGGGGTGGTGGGTGGGCCACAGATGTTTGGGGTGGGGCCGAGGCTCCGCCTGTTATCTTGAAGTCTACTTTCCTGGGCCAAGGCTGCCACCAGGAAAACTACTCTGACATAGTCTTGGAGAAGAAAGAGTTGGCATCCCGGGCACTGGTGTTCAAAGCGAGGCCTGGCTAAATTTATCCAAGGAAGGAATGTGAAGGGAACAGGGAGAAAAATCAAAGTGGACTTGGTTCTTCTCCAGCACCTGCCTTCCAAGAGGCAATAACCATGGTAAGATCATTATCTCACCACCCACCCACCCTCGGAGGAGACTTGGCAAGGACTGGTTCTCCTCCGTGGATGGGTGGGTGGGTGGGAGGAGGAACAGAACTCAAGGAGGGGAGGGCCCAGGCTACAGACAGGGGAAGGATCCATGACTTCTGAACTCCTACTGTAGCTGGCGGAGATCTTAAAAACTGGCCCACCCCTGTGGCAGAGACTGGCTTGGTGGTCACCAAAGTTTGGACGATCAGAAGATAAATCTTGGCATGTGGCTAGACCACATTTCTCTGCCCCCATGCATCTAATAGGGCCCTGTGACTAGTTATTGCCAATGGAATGTGAATGGAAGCAAGGTTTGGTACCTTGGGGCTGAGGTGGTTAAGAGCAGTGGACCTACTTCATGATCTCTCTTTCCTCAACTGATGGTCAGCTCTGAGAGTATCGCTGAGACCCTGGGGGAGACTGAGCCAAATGGTGGAAGCATACGGGCTGAATGCCTGTATGGAGCAGAATTCCTTCCCTACCCCCCCTGGCCTTCAGTGGGCTGTGCCATGAGCAAGAAATAAACCTTTGTGTTAAGCCACTGAAATGTGGGGGTTGTTTGTTACAGCGGTTAGTGATACTTATTCTGACTGTTCTGAGGCACTTGTGATTCAGTGGGCAAATTCTCCCTTTCTGTGCGGGAGAACAGGGTTGATTCCCTACCGTTGAACCTCAAGTGCAGTCACCACCCACCTGTCAGTGGAGGTTTCTGTGTTGCTATCATGCCGAACAGGTTTCATGAAGCTTCCGGACTAAGACACACTAGGAAGGAGGGCCTGGTGATTGACTGAAAATCAGCCAATGAAAACCCCATAGGGGTTGGCAGACAATGTTTCTACATGTGTATTGTATGAGCTACAGGAATGTCCAAATGTATAGTAGAGCTGACAAGGGACAAGGTTGTGGTGGCTTCTTGGCCACAGCCAGCTACCCTGAGGAAGCGAGTAGTTGGACCTGTGGGCTCAGGATCATGGTTGCAGGGGCCATCAAGCTCAATTGGTGTAACATACTACACCAAAACATTGTTCCACATCCTACTTAGGTGAGTAGCAACTGTGGTCTTAAAAGCTTGCAAGAGGGCATCTAGATGCAACAATGGGTCTCTCCTCACCCAGAGCAAAGAAGAATGAAGAAAAGCAAAGACAAAGGGAAATAATTTAGTCCAAGGGACTAGTAGACCATGCGATCTTCAGCCTATATGACCATGAGACCAGAAGAACTAGATGGTGCCCAGCTACCACTGTCAATGACTCAGAGGGTGATCGGTGCAAGAGATCCTGGATAGAGTGGGAGAACAATGTGGAACAAAACTCAAAATCATTAAAAAAAATAAAAAAAGGGGACCAGGTTTGCTGTGGCCCCTAATTGCCCTTCAGGTCTGGTATTGAACCCACTGCTGTGGCTTCCAGCCAAACAAGAGACAGGCATGTGAGCTGAACATTTATACCAGGTAGATACACTCCTTGAAAAGATCAATCATGGGAGAATAGAAAGGCTGTGTATGAACAGGGAGACAGCTCAGGGGGCAGGAATGCATGGAAGGGAAGGACACAGGGAAGAGATAACTATGGGAAGGAAGTGGGAAGTGAGCTGTTGCACTGTGGGAAACTGCAGTCAATGTCATGAGACAAAGTGTATGTGAACTGCTGAATTTGCTCTGTAAACTTTCACCCAAATCACAATACAAATTAAAAAAATAAATAAATAAAGATCACAGCCTTGGAAACCCTAAGGGGCAGTTCTACTTCGACCTGTGGGGTCACTATGAGTTGGAATTGACTTGACGGCAGGAGGTACAGGGGTGGAGCACCCTTACAAAGTGGAGGGAAATATTAACACAATCCCATTGGAGAAAAGGGCTGCAATGGAGAGGGACATTCTAAGAGCACGTTTAGTGAAGACATTTAACCTAGGCTGGGAGGTCAAGGAGGGTGGCTAGGAGGTCAAGGAAGGTCCGGGGTGTCAAATGGTTTACACTTGACTGCTAACCTAAAGGAGCTCTGGTGGTGTAGTGCCTAAGACACTTGACTGCTAACCAGAAGGCTGGCGGTTCAAACCCACCAGCCACTCCTCGGAAGGAAGATAGGGCAATCTACTTCCATAGTGATACCACCTTGGAAACCCAAGGGGGGGTCGCTGTGAGTCGGGTCCGACTCGATGGCACGTAACAACACCACCAGCACCACTAACCTAAAGGTTGGCTGGTCGGATCCACCCAGTGGTGCTGCAGAAGAGGCCTGGAAACCCACTGTAAAGATTACAACCGATGAAACCCAATGGAGCAGTTCTACTTTGTAATGCACGGGGCCACCACAAGTCAGGGCTGACGAGGACGATGGTCTCATGAAATGACACTAAAGCCGAGACTTGAAGGATGGGGAGTCAGAAGGCAAGAAGGCTAGTGGTGGGGGCAGCTTTCTGGCTGAGGGACTGCATGTTCCTCTCATGGTAGAGGACACGGTGCTTCTGAGGAAGCTGAAAGTGCACTGAGGGCTGGGGCACATTTTCGATGTATGGCGTGACAGTGGCACACCGGCTGGTGGGCTGGAGAACACTGACGTATGGCGGTGGCAGTGTCATGCTGGAGCCGCTTTGCCCTG